CACAGTCAATAACTCATGTCTTTTGTCCTTTTTTTTCAAACTGCGCTTTAATGGTGTTTCATATTGATTACACATCAACACTCTCAGAGCTCGCCCAAAAGTCGGGTCGGTTGACATTCAAATTTTCCCCGTCATTATCGACACGAAGTAGCTCATGAATGTCTAGAAAATAAGGAAAGTTATGACTTTCCAATTCTCCAAACTATTACTAAGGGAAATGCAGCGAAATTGATGAGGAGAATTTGCATTTTGATGCTATCCATTAAACTCCTGGGCAGTCGGTAGGACGTTTTGGATAAAGAAGGGAAAACTTTTAAAACCGTTACTACAAGAATTTACCAGAGTTTCGTCAGACACCAATTTCTTTTTTCAGCATTCCATTTTTTGCAGAATAATTACAGCATCTAAATGGATTCCTGTTACCGCTGTGCTGCATTCAAGTGATCAAAAAAAGGTCAGGAAATGAGTTGAAGAAAACACCGCAGGGCATTGAGTGTGTTGATCCCAGCACGAGCTAAATTCTTAACATGTCTGATTACTTCCCGGTAGCTTTTCCACCGAATGTTTTTCTTTAATCTCTGTCATTTGAACGAACAGAGGGCCATTACTATTTAATGCTGTCAGTTCATGGTAATTGCAGTCCATCAATAATGGATGACCACTGACTCATTTCTTATTTTAAAAGTAATACGACTTTAAGAAACCTTCAAGGACAATTCATTAGACTGTCGAAGACTTGGCGTTTAGACTTTTAAATGTTTTCAACAGTGTTTTTCAAATCCAAGTTCCGTCCATGAGCTGACGAATGCTAGGCTTAGAAAAGACAGAGGATGAACGGTGAAATATATTGTTTCAGCGCTCAATTTTTATTTTGTTTGAATCAAATTTTCAATCCTTAGCAACACTGCTGCGTGGTATGAGTTTTTTTGTTTTGAAAGCCTTCCTTTTGAATAATTCAATAGTACAGAAAACAAAATCGCAAAACATTGTAGCGAAATGGCTGTTTCCAGCGGATTTTGGGGGCAACATGTATCACATCAACATCACGGTGAATTTGCATCCCATGGCAACTCGTAATTTCGGACAGAATGTACCGTTTAAATCAGAAGCGTGGCACGATTCAATTCAAACATATTTTTGTAGACAATATTTCACGCAGCTCAGGGAAACAAGAACCTGTCTTTGCAATCTCTACGAATTAAGACACCAAAAAAGATACAAAACACGCAATTCACACTAAGGCTTAAGGACAAAGGAAAGAAAACCTGTCTTGATCAAATGAATTTTCACGAGCTGATCTTTTTTTTACGACAGGGAGATTTCCTCTTAAATAGAAACTGATACCAGGTAGATCGCTTGTTAACAACAGGATATTGCACTAGCGTGTGCTCAAAATAGAATGGGAAAGTACTTACTTGCTTCTTGTTCGAAAACTCTTCGCGCGTGTCTTCCTTGTTGCATACGAAGCGCTTCTCACGAACAAGACTGCTATGACTCATAATATCGAGTATTGCAATAGACGCCAGTAGATTGTAATTGGTCCGCGACTCTCACGTGAGTTATGACAAAGATCTGACAGCTTTCACCGCACGTTCGTGATATGGCTTTTTATTCACTGAGATACATGGCATTAAGTTGTTGTTCTTTCTTCTAAGATCGCTAAAAGCCTCCATATAAAGACTCGCTAATATAATCTTTCTCGTGGAAACGATTTGGAAATATCTCTGTACGCTTCTTTGTTTGCTGTGTTCTTCCTATTCAAACTCACAAAATTAAAACTCGTGGAAAAAATTGGTTAGAATATTCCACAAACACCTGCATTTATTTTCAAAATAACATTTTGGTTTTAATTAAAAATGTCATTTGATGGAAAAAAACGTGTTCGAAAGTTAATAAAGGCAAATATTTTGCACTTAACAGATCCGGAGAACTTTAGAACCAAAACAGAGGCCTACTTCTAGGTAATAAAAATTACCTTTTACGTAAAGAAGTTGACGTGCATGTTGGATGTCGCTAGACATCGCAAACGTACGTTTTTAAATTATCTGAAGGTGACGTTAGGGCTAATTTTAGTTTCCGTACTTTCTCGATTAAAAGCCGGGGGTATGTCTTTCCTTATCTTTAACGCAAAATTGAAACAAAAAAAAAAAAAAACCCAAGAATAATGAAATGTTGGCAAATAGGCAGATTTGTTGGTCAAGAATTAAATTAGCTTTAAAGACATAGCGGGAGAATTTAGTAATCAGTGGTAAGGTTTACCAGCTTCTTTGTAATAAGGAAGAAAAATCAAACTGTGCTGGCTCATGAATACAATCAATGATTGATGAAAATTAGCTGCAAAATTGACGCTTTCAAATAGACGTTTATTTCAAAGTCGACCATTTGGACCTGGGCGTCTATCTGAACCGGGCCCGTAATCCAGAGCCCGTTAATCGAGAAAACACGGTATGTGATTAACCTCGTGAAACTATCAACAGTGTAATGTGTATCGCATGCTCTCCTTGCTGTAAGCAGCGAGATGAATAGTCAAATCCAGTTTAGTGCAGCGAAAGGTTCCTGGTGTTTAGTAACCGACAGCGAAAGAGAAGTAATTTGCGAAACAGTTTGGGACCTGTACATGACAACTTACACGTATAATGATCCTGAGTAACGAACGAGACTTAAGAAATTGACGTCAGTTTTTCATGCGTCTGTCCTGTTATTGATCATGAATTTCTTCATAACATTGTCAAAGTAGCTGTCATTGTCAATAACAGGACAGACGCATGAAAAACTGACTTTAATTTGTTTTTTACGATAACAAATTGTCAAATTGTCCGCTCTCGCTCGTTAACGCATCGCATAAATTATAAATTCATGTGTCTGTCCGCTTACTGACAATGAAAATTAGCCAATAAGCGCGCGAGAATTTCTGCAGTTATCGTAAAATAAGTAATTGCAGGTCTAGTCATAACATTGAAAAGTAAGCCGGTCAATAAACGCCTCAATAAAACAAATTCTTGTTACCACCTACAGTGGAAGGAAGCGACACTTCACAAGACCTCTAAGGAAAGAGGGACCCGCCTTGTTTTCTGGTTTTTGCGTCTATAACAGTTAAAAATGTTACACTCAATTCGTGATCGCGAACTTAGGTTCTACAACTATTATCGTGAATGGTTAGGCAAATAAATTTCGACGGGGGAATAATTAAAACAACTCACTCTGTACTTTCTTATTTTGTTGACTGTTTTCTTCACTCAAACGGTAGTCGTTTTACATGTTTGCAGAACTATTAGTATTTTGAACTATCCAGCGACCGTCACAAATGCCCCGTTATCATTCTCGCCCGCTAGAGCCGCGATACTTAGCGTTGGTCTAAAACCAGCCGATTAGGACTTGGACCCACTCTCGTTTCCAGAGCTTCTCGATCAATGGAAAACCTAGGGTTTCATAACTCTAATGAATTGCCTCAAGGTACCAGGAAACGAGGACAGTCAATGGGTTTTCTCCAGGATCCGAGTAATAAAGAACCTTCGAGGGCTTGGGTCCTTGGGTTCCAGAGACTAGTTTGTTTGTGACCCTGACATATCTTGTATCGTACATGAAGATTACACACTTCCTCTAAATATGGGCCTCAGTTATCAAGGCGTTATATCGTCCTCCGTCAATGGCAAAGGTAATCGATAATAATGATCCTATCTATAACAGAATTCTCGATGGTTTTCTGTGCACCTGTTTGTCACGTAATCGGCGCGGGATCTCGTAGGTGTCCAAGTACAGGTATCCGGGTACAACTCTTTCTAATTGGATGGCTGTACTGAGCTGTTCTGTACTGGATTGAACATGCCACCCTTCCGCACTGCCGGCGGCCAAAGGACCTTTCAATATAGACCGACCTCTCTGTGGAATGAGTTGCAGCCTGCGCTAAAACTTAGCCCAACCGTGACGGATTTCAAGCACCTACTCAGGCGAAAGCTTCTTAATGACTGTTTCATTTAATTTTATTCAACTTTGTCTTCTTTTAACGTTATCTTTGTCATGTGTTTAGCTTTCTGCGTTTTTTTAAACTTTGTAATGTAACATTGACTCTGAAAAGCCCCGTGGTTACGAGCCAATAAAGTATGTATGGTAACAGGATACCTACGCCATTCGCACGTCAATTACGCGAGCTTTAATGGCTTCCTTGTTAATGTTCTTAGCCTACGAGCAGGCTCATGTTGGAGTACAAGCGCGCGAAATCGAGCGGCGAAGCTGCGAGATGACAAAGTGAGGCTCACTTTCTTGGCGCCTCTTCACCAGACTCCTTCCCGCCGGATTGCTTTGCCCTTCGCCGCTCGCGCGTGTGACTGAAAGGTGAGCTTGCTCGCAGGTTATAATGTTCCTTACCGTTTTTATAACTTGAGGAAAACACTTCTGACGTTTTCCCTCAAAAGAAGTTCTCAAAAGATTATTTTAATCTCGCAATTTGTTATTGATACGATTAATTACTAATTGGACCTCGTGTCGGACAATTCAGGGAGTAACGTGCTCGTAATTTCCTGAATCGGTCTCGCGCTGCGCGCTCGTCCAATTTTGAAATTACTCGCCCGATTTCTCCCTGAATTGTACTCCATTCGGTCCAATTACTATTACTCTGAATAATGATAACAATGACTTTATTAACGTGTCACGAACACTAGCAGAGGAGAGTCTCCACCCCAATAATAAAATCATGAATTAGAAGGATTCTTGTTACTTGTCAAACCATTTCCAGTCGGCACTGATATTTGAACAGCGCCTTCAAAAATGGCGATTCATTGTTCAATTACGACTGATAGGTGATTGGTTCTTCATTGCTCTGGGCCATGCTTTAATGATAAGCTTCGCCTTCATCCGCCAACCAGTATCATTTATCGTTCTCTTTCGTTGAAGTCTCGATACCAACGCATTTCTAGAACCAGCCGATTTGGACTTGGACCCACTCTCGTTTCCAGAGCCACTCGATCGATATCTCATTTGCATTTCACTTCCGCAATGCGGTAAACTTGTTTCCTTCACGTTTTAGTTTTGGATGTACAAGTGCTGCGCTATTTTGGAATTAAGAAAGTAGATATCAGTGAAGTTTCCTGGGGTGTTGTAAGGTAAGAGGCTGCAAAACATTCAACTTGTACACCGCAGTCTGTTGAGCATATAAAATAATGATAATGTATTGTTATTGAATTTACATCTGTATGATCGTATGATCGTATGATCGTATAATCTATCTAGGTTACGGTTCATAAAATATTTAGCGATAATTCTAAAGAATTAATTTCTTCATTGGATTTGTTATCCACTGTCATGTCTGCCTTATCAGGAATTGAAGGTGCCAGAAGCCCTGATTTCAGCGCTTCCCAATTATCTCAATTTATCGAACCCGTTGATACGTCTGCATGTGGAATCGTTGGGAAAAATGGCCGTTGGCCGGGCTAGCCATAACCATTAAAGACATAAGCTAACGGTGGATTTGCATTCTGTAAAAACTTAAACAGCAATTATATTTGAAGCGATTAGATGCATTCACCAGTTGCCGCAGCAATTCGGGTTAAATTATGTTCAAGTCTTGTTTACAATGACAACCCTAAAGTTCCAATACACAATAGGATGTTTGTTATATGACTTTGTCCAAAACTGATTGATGTTCTTCTATGTGAAATGTGTGTGAAAATGCCCTAGTTGAAAGGGTTTTCACTTAAACACATACGATTATCTTGTAGCTTCTAGTAGGGGAGTCCCCGACGACGCATAAGCCAAGATATGCAAATTTATCAACATTTTCAAAATGAATTGTCGTGGTTTAATGTTGTCTTAAGATGAGAATATCTTTTTAGACTGGGGGCGAATTATTATATCTGTCTGAGACCAAGTAGCAGAATAGTTCGTCTGCCTGATAGATCGTCCAGGTATAAATCCGGTGTATAGACGAATTTAGACTACGAGTAGTCCCTCTTTCGCTCAGTCCGTCGTGCGTGACGCGAAAGAAAACTACGAGAAAAGAAATAGCCGCACGAAATCCTGGGGGCGAGGAGCCCGCGCTCCTCGCTCCCAGGATTTCGCGCGGCTATTTTTTTCTCGCAGTTTTCTTTCGCGTCACGCACGAAGGACTGAGCGAAAGAGGGACTACTCGTGGTCTAAGACGAATTGTGCAGCAAAATCGTCTTCGGCTGATTTGTCGTCTGTCAGCACGTCTTCAAGACGTTTTAACGACGTGCTGACAGAACAATCAGCTGAGGACGACTCTTGCCGCACAATTCGTCTTAGACTACGAGTAGTCCCTCTTTCGCTTAGTCCGTCGTGCGTGACCGCGAGAGATTCGTGTCATCACCGAATCACAAACAATAAGAACCGAAAGTCGGAACCACACCAGTTTTGTACATGTGCAAAATCCGCCATTCGATGACAGAAGGCTCTCCGTTATTTTTCCTTCAGAAGAATACTAAACTGTTCTTTTGCCGAACGTTTTGCTTAAAAAGTCGAAGAAATGTGACTGCAACATATTTCTATCCTCAGTATAGATGGATACGAACCTGATGGTTTGCAAATAGGAGAAAATCTTCCCCAATCGAAACGCCATTTTTTTCGCTTTGTGAAACGAGCTGCGCGGCGCAGTTTAAACCAGATATAACGTCACTTTTTGTTGGATGGTCCAGATAAGCAAATTTCAGGAGTCTTCTGCCCCGCCCCTGCGCGATACCAACGCGATTCTAGAATCGATTCTAGAATCTTGCCGCATAATTCATCTAAACACCGGATTTATTCCTAGACCTAATACAAATTGAGGGTCGGATAATTCGTCTCTAATATAAATTGGGCCAGTGGACCTTTGGGTCGAATAAAATCATAGATCCATGTGTGTCTAAATTCGAACGATGTGAACGTAATATTGCTGGTTTTCAGTGTCACGCAATTCAAAATAGATCAAAATAAAAAATCAAAACCGGTCA